AAACATTCCCCTTAAAAACTGGGACAAGACAAGCATGCCCACTGTCACCACTTCTACTCAATAGAGTGCTAGAAGTCCTAGCCAGAGCAATCAGGCAAGAGAAAGAAAGAAAGGGTATCCAAATAGGGAAAAAGGAGATCAAGTTATTGCTTTTCATTGACAATATGATCTTGTATCTAGAAAATCCTAAAGACTCCACCAAGAGACTCCTGGAATTGATAAACAAATTCAGCAAAGTCTCAGGTTACAAAATCAATGCACATAAATCAGTAGCATTTCTATATACCAATAACAGTCAAACTGATAGTCAAATCAAAGATTCAATCCTATTCACAACACTTACAAAGAAAATAAAATATCTAGGAATATACTTAACCATGGAGGTGAAAGATCTCTAAAAGAGAACTATGAAATGCTTTGGAAAGAAATTGCAGAGGACACAAACACATGGAAAAACATACCATGCTCATTGATTGGTAGAATCAATATTGTTGAAATGTCCATACTACCTAATGTAATCTACATATTCAATGCAATCAATATCAAAATACCAACATCATACTTCAGAGATCTAGAAAAAATAATTCTACACTTCATTTGGAACCAGAAAAGAGCCTGAATAGCCAAAGCAATCTTAAGCAAAAAGAACAACTTTGGAGGCATCACATTACCAGACTTCAAACTATACTACAAGGCTATAGTAACCAAAATAGCATGGTATTGGTACAAAAATAGAGACTGAGACCAATGGAACAGAACAGAGAACCCAGATATAAAACCATCTACCTACAACCAACTGATGTTTGACAAAGCAGACAACACACTGAGGAAGAGAAGCCCCCTTCAATAAACAGTGCCGGGAAAATTGGATAGCCACACGCAGAAGAATGAAGCAGGACCCCTATCTGTTACCACTTACAAAAATTAATTCAAGATGGATAAAAGACTTAGATGTAAGACATGAAACCATAAGAATTCTAGAAGAAAATGTAGAGAAAACTCTTGTAGGTATCAGCCTAGGGAAAGAATTTATGACTAAGACTCCAATGGCAATTACAGCAACAACAAAAATAAATAAATGGGATTTGATTAAACTAAAAAGCTTCTGCACAGCTAAGGAAATAATCAACAGAGCAAATAGACAATCTACTGAATGGGAGAAAATATTCACAAACTATATATCTGATAAAGGGCCAATAT